TTATGCAGTTCGGACTGGCCTTGAGCTCACTCTGTAGCTCAGATTGGTCTTGAACTCACAACACTCCTCCTGCCTCAGCCTCCCAAATGCTGGGATTACAGGTGTGCACCACCACACCCAGCTTCAACCTTAATTGCAATATCTTCCATGTCTGTGTCTTCATCTTTTTTCTCTCTTCTTAGACATCATACTGATTAAAAATAACAACAATCCACCAGGCGGGGCAGTGCACACCTATAATCCTAGCACTCAGGAGGCAGGAGGATTCCTACAAGTTCCAGGCCAGCCTGAGCTACAAAGTGGGTTCAAGGCCAGCCTGAACCTGTCTCAAAAAACAAAACAAAACAAAACAAAACAAAACAAAACAAAACAAAACAACAATCTGCTATTCAGAGAGCGTGGTGGGACTTGACCAGCTGTCCCTCTAGGAGGCATCAGCCTTGCCTGGTGTAGTTGTGTCTGTAACCCGAGCCAGGAGCCCTCAGCACTCACAGGCCAAGCAGGGCTGAGTTGGGAGAGGTCCCTGCACTTCCCTTCCTGACGTGGCCCATACCGTTTTGCTTTGTCATCTTGACGGCCTTATGTCTCAGTATTATGGAGCGAGCAGTTTATCATCACTGCATTTCAAGACCAGAAGTAGAAGTTCTAGGAGCAAAACTGGCAGGGCTGGGCGTGCAGCTCAGCGAGAGAACTTGTGTCTCCGGGCCTTGGTTCGATCTCCAGCACCACAGGGAAACAAACTGGATGGCTTAGAGTGCCACAAATATTTTAATTTTTGGTGACAGTTTGACTTGGTACTGGAGCCACCCACATCTTATGGAGCTTCTTTTCCACCGTAACTAAGCCCTTGCATTCCAACCGAGCTTGCGCTGGAAACTCTGCCTGCCCGGCGCTGTGACCTTTACTCCTCGGGCCTTGGTGCTCTCCTCTCCTGCTCCCAGACTCTTGTCCCAGCTGGCGTTGCTGCTGGGGGCTGAGGCTGTCCTGAGTTCTTGGGATTGAGCGGGACGAAGACACAGCAGTGAAAGCGCAGATTTCTTAGGACCGCTCCTCGGGGTGGGAACAGGCCAGCGAGATGAGCTCACAGCTGGGAGGAGCCAGAGGTTGGAGCCTGGTGCGACCTTCACAGGGACGGAGCAGCTCCTTTTGGTTTTTGGTTTGCACAAGGACAACTGTATTACAGCAAAGGAATGAACACAATTCGGAAGAATTCCACCTCCGTCATCTCTCCTGACACAGCTTCCCTGAGAAGTTGTGTGACGTTAGGTCTACTTTTCCTCTTGCTGACCGTCTTGGTAATCGCATCTCCACTTCTACTCCGGTGCAGAACTGCACGAGCCTCAGAGTTAGCTCAGCACCTGCCGTCTCCTGTCTGTGCTCACTGACACTGACACTTTTCTCGGTCATTTTAGTCTTCTGCTTGGCGGGTTTTGATCCTTGGGTTGCTTTTACACCGTCGAGAGGGGTCGCATGTACTTCTGTGATCTTCCCATCTGCACTGTGAAAAGCAGGTGGAGTCACGCCGGCATCCTGCGCTGCTGTGGGTTGGTCACCAAATCCTTTGTTTCCTCTTCTCCCTGAGTACTGACTTTCACCAGAGCTCGAACACGTGTCCCCCTGTTACTTGCTCCAGACTCTCATGTACTGGGACCAGAAGCTCTTCTCCAAGACCACTGCTGAGTCCTGAAGAATTTAAAGCCTTTGTGGTGATCCGAATTTCAGGTGGACGTGGTCACTGTGATTTTTCACAGCCGAGCTGTGCTGTCATATGAAGGCGCGATCAGCCTGGGGACTCTGCGCCTGGAGCCGTGGTCCACTTCGTCCTGCTGGGTCTGCGAGCGCTCAGCAGGGCTGGTGGTGCCCACTTCAGCTAAAGCAGCGCCAGTGCTCTCGGAGGTGGAAGAGGGCTTCTTCCACTCGCTCCAGGTCCGTCCTGGATAGACTCTGTTTTCAGCTAGGAGAGAGCCAGGTCATTCAGGGACATCCGATCTGTGTGCGGTTTTCTTTTTCCTTTTTTTTCTTGTCCTGGGGATTGAACTCAGGGCCTTGTGCATGCTAGGCACGCGCTCTACCTCCGAGCTACAGCCCCAGCCCTGTGTGAATTTTTCTCCTGCCGTCATTTATCCACTGCTTCATGAGCAGACCCGGGGAAGAACAACATGTCGGGGTGACACAGAAGTAGCACATCTTTAGCCAGGGGATTGGACCACAGCACAGCAGAGCCCAGCGCGGACCGAGAGCCCAGAGAACATCAGCTACGCTTGCCCTTTTGGAGCTTCTGCGCCGAGTCCAGACATGTCATAGCCGGAGGGCCAGGGCGGAGTTTCAGGACACTCTAGGCTGCAGCAGTCTCTTCAGCTGCTCTGCTACTTGCTACCCTGGAGTTGAAGGGCTTTGCCTGTCTTAATTTTAGATGGTTCAATCCCAAATGTCATCAGTTGGTCAATTGCCTTCAAAACGCTTTTTTTTATTATTGTGACATCACCAATGTACAAAACCTGCGATGGTAACACAAAGTGTTTACTTGCAAGATCTTGATTCTGAACTGTGTGTCATGGTGCAGGTCTGCCATCTCAGCACTTAGGAGGCTGAGGCAGGAGGATTGCCATGAGTTTGGGCCAACCTGGGTTACACAGTAAATTCAAGACCAGCCTGAACTATATAGTGAGATCTGTCTCGAAAAAACAAAAAACAAAAAAATCTTGATTCTGTAGTCCACAGCATCCCGAACATAAAACAGCCAGATTTCTTATTACAGGATGAACACTTATTATTCCAAAAGGGAGTAGCTCTTTGAATTAGTGCAGCAGTTTGCTCAATCTGGGACAATCTCCTCCTTTCTGTTGGGGCAGCATTTCTTCCTACATGGACCTTTGGGGAACTCTTGCAGGAGCTCCAAAACACAATGTACAGGCAGGGCGTGGTGGTGCACATCTGTAATTCCAGCACTCAGGAGGCTGAGGCAAGAGGATCACTGCAAGTTCGAGGCCAGCCTAGGCTACCAAGTGAGCTCAAGGCCAGCCTGAACTGCATAGCAAGACCCTGTCTCAAAAAGACAAACACACACACACACAGTGTAAATGTGTAAATGAGATTATAATTCATTACAATTGAGCTGGGTCATTTCTGGTTGTTCAGATACTCTACAGCGCATGCGTCCCAGGCAGGGCTAACTCCTTAGAGGTGGAGTGTGCTCTGCGGTTTTAGAGAGCTTATCTTGGCCCCACAGAGGGTGGCAGCTCCTGCGCTCTCTTCTCTTTCCGGCTGTGGTACCTCTGTCAGGAACCCAGCACTCTGGTTTTCAGAGAGCCAGTTTCCTCTTCACCCTTGGCCTTCAGGTAAGTTTTGTTTTTCTAGCCTGCCCTTGTCCAACATTCACTCACTAAACCCACTGCTTTAGATCATGTTGTTTGCATTCCATTTTATAGTTCCTATTTTTCAATTTTATTTTATTCTACTGAGACAGGGTCTCACTATGTACTTGAGGCTGGCCTTTACCCAGTATGTAGCCCAGGCTGGCCCTAAACTTGCAGTGATCCTCCTGCCTCAGCTTCCCGAGTGCTGGAAAACAGGTACACGCCACCACATCCAGCTAGATCCAAACATCTTTGAGGGTACATTGTGGAGGGTCTGTTTGGGTGAGCTGTCTCTGTAGTATGCATGCCGCCCAATTACGGGCTGTAGTTACTCATTCTCACCCTTGCTTTGGTTTTTTTTTTTTTTTTTTTT